CTATAATGTAAATCAAGATGAACCAATGAATAAAAAGATATCAAATGAAATGTGATAAATATGGCCTGTCAGTTATACAGTCTGCATTCACACCAAAAGTGTCTAAATGTGCAGTTTTACTATTAATTAAATATTGGATACTTTAATTAAAATGGTTGTTGGTTTATGGTTTCATTAGGACCAAAACAGAAGATCTATTTTTTGGCAACCAGACAGATGGACTGTGTTTAATAAGAAAATCTCAGGGGGACATATTTTGGGAAGGTCAACTCAGAGAAACAAATCATCCATTGAAGTCTGACACTTCTCTCTGTGTGTTGATGGGTATCTCTTCATATTGTGTATTCAAATTCTGTAATTGTTGAGCATAGGTCAAAAAAAGGTGAGCTCCAAAAAAGTTCTTGTTTTTTATTTGGAGGTGCTGACACCAAAATGTGGTGTTTACCAACACTGTTTTACCACCTGTAACCTTTAGACTCCTAAATTTCATGGTAGCTTCACTACTGATGTAGTGTACTGTATATTCAGCAAGTCAGCCACAGGAGAAAGGAAAAATGCTCCTACAAATGAGAAAAAGATTCACAATTAGCAGGTAGCTCAGCTGTAACTCCTTTTAAGACTGTTACAGTTTTAAGTTCTTAGACTCTGGTAGGATCTGGGGATTCACACAGTGACTGTATAGACACTGTTTGCATTGTAGCTAGATTGCATTGCCTGGGTTGGGGCACGTGATGAGGCTGGATGTCAGGGGTAGATGTCATGACCCAGCTGCTGTGAGGCCACGTGTCCTCTACAGTAACACAAAGCCGTTCCCCCTGCAGCATAAACCAACAACCAAACAAACCCATATTGAGCCGTCTGCTATGCTTCTTTACAGTTGTTAGAAATTAACCCACGACCCCCGTGCGCTTAAATAACTTAAATAAGCAAATTCACTCTCTGCTGAACACGAAGCAGCCTCTGTTGGGCTGAAAATCAGAACAGTGATTTTAGTTTGTTGCTGATTTTTATGTGTGTGAAAGAAAGAAACAGCAGCAAGGAAGGCAAAGCAATAAAATCAAGGGCAGTGTGTTTATATTTTGCCCTTTACAACCTGGTTTTGGACTGGGGTTATAAACTGATTAATCTGTGCTCGGCTCATTTTCCTGTGCTTTTGTGTTCTTGTATTCTCCTTATGTACACTTCAAAACGTCTGAGTTGTGCAATCAGTTTTCCTGTCAGAGGTGGAGGTTAAGGTAATTATAAACTGTTTGCACTCCCCCACATCATTTAGCTGATAACACATCTCCCAGGAGACACTGCAGCGCTGCCATTTCTCCCACGCTTGCTTAACTGATGATAATGAGAGAAAATTGCACAAAATGAAGTCGTGTATAGATTAAAGTATTATACAAGGCATTTATCCCATTTGTTTACCACGTTTTTGCTGCCTGGATTTAACTTGAACATGTTTGTAAGTGTATGTTCATTTGACATAGATTCATGTTTTCCATCCAGGAGGCTGATTGGAATGTAATTGTTAAGATAAAGAGCGAGCAGATGGGAGGAAAGTGCGGTTGAACCTGATGGCTATTCCAGGCTCTTACTGGGCTGACGGTCAAGGAGATTTACGTGCCTGGGAGTCAAACAGACAAATGTCTCAACAAGACAGTGAAGCACCTTCATGTTGCCCAGGACGAAGATGAGAGGAGCAGACCACGACCTGCACAGCTGTCAGTTTCCCAGTAGTCTCTTTTAGAAGTGCAGAAGGTTTATTCATCATTATTGTCTGTCTGACAAAAAACAGTGCACTTATTTCAAAAATCAGTCTGAGCTTGCATCAGCCTTGATAATTTAATTTGCCACTCAAACTGCTCATAAATCTGAAAATAGCTGTGTTGTTGAAACACCAAAACAGCAAATCAATCTTCAACAGTGTAATAATCTATTAATCACATTTTGGCCAAAATGCCAATCATTTACTGGTACCAGCTTCTAAAATGTGAGTACTTTCTGCTTTTTTGTGCTTTATAGTATATTATTATGAATGGAATTTATCTAGGGTACCTTTGGTTGAACAAAACTAGATATTTAAAGACATCATTGTGGACTCTGGGAAAATAATTTTACTACTTTTCTACATTTTATAGACGTAGCAATATTCAGTTAATCCGGAAATTAATTGCTAATGAGAAAAATGATTTGTTCTAGTACTGAAATGATGACTTTGACTACCTGTAATCACTGCCACTCCAATATACTACCAAATTTTATTTATTTTTACCATTAGAATTGAGCCATCGCTTTCTCTGTCCCACATTTATAAAGAGGATCAGTTCTGAGGAGCATGGCTGCAGTTTCAAGTGTGTGAATGGAAACAAGCAGTTTGGAAAAGCATTTGACTTATCCAAAATCCCACTTTTTGGCTGATTTCATTTCCATGAAAAATGCAGCATGTGGGCCATCTGTTTTAGCGGTTTGCAGTGGTGAAATGTCATTTGCTGGACAGTATTGTCTGCATTTCCCTCCCCTCTAGAAAGAGAGTTTTAGAGGCTCAGGATGATTCATGTTATTGCTTAATATATTTTAATTTGGTCTACATCTCACCCAGTGTAGTTAGACTGATGAAGGCAGGTCCTATAAGCTTGTATGACGTCACCAATGCTCCACCCTGATTTAACTCTCTGCATATCATGTAAAAAACGTTTTTAAGTTTAGTGTTAATTAATTTTTGGCTTTCTACATATGGTTTGACCAGAAAATTCTTGTCAAAATGGATTTTTGGCTGTCCATAATGAATCAGGATGTCCACAGAGCATTTTCCAAGGCCAGTATTTACAGTATTTTAAGATTCAAACGGTTTATTTGTCCTTTATTCACTTAATAGAGTATTGCAAATGTTTAAGACGCTTTAGATATTTAGATTCTTATCCATCCTGCAGTGCTATCAGGGAGGTGTCCGATATTGGACCCAAATTCATTCTGCAGCCTGAGGTACAACATAAAGAGCTAAGCAACAAGAAGCAGGAGTCCTGCAGAAGATGGTCTGGCCCCCACAGAGTCCTGACCTCAGATGCTGGAACAACCTACCTTGAAAAACAAGTCATGTATATGAAAGGATGCCCACTTTACTTGTGTACAGTGAATTGTGGCCTATCCTTAAAGGTGTGCTAAAAGGCAAGTGTGCACTGAATACAAGTTTAAAAACAGTCGAACTCGGCCAAAAGGCAGGTGTGTGCAGAGGTTTGGGGGCCCGGGTCAGGAGAAGGTGTGCAGCTGATGCCCCTCCTAACACAACGTGATGCTGCAGCCGTGTGTACGCAGCCGCTGCACGCCGGCGTCTCGGATCAGCCGACAGCTCTGTCGATACTTCAACAAGAAACGACTTAACAAGGCTAAAATTCCTTCGCCTCTTTGGGGCTGGTAAAAGGGAAAAGGCGGCTCCACTCCTGGACCTCCGAGCAGACAGAGGAGCTTCGGTAAAACGGTGCCAGTGCTCGCTGTGTCTGGCGCACGCTGGCCTCTGCAGGACGATGAGGCGTGAAACTGTTTCAGAACTTTTTCTGTGCCTTGTGGTTTTACTTCCTAACGCAATGCAAGCTCAAACAGGTAAGATCGCCTCGCTAGTCAGTCAGAAACTAAGAGCACTGTTTAAATGCGCCACGCGCAATGTTTTCACAATGGACAAACATTTAGTTAAACTGTTTTCTGTTCATGGTGTTGACCGCCTCCTTTTCTTCCTGACAGAAAAAAGTTTACAAACCAAAGGTCTGATCAAAAATCTAATTTAATCGTTGTATAAAAGTTCCCCACTTCCTCTGGTAGTTTTTGTCCCTGTGCCAAAAAGAAGCAGACACCTTCTCATCCATCACGCACAGTCCAGTGCCATATACCTCCCTGTGTCATGGTCAGAGTGTTTCTGTCAGAGCAGAGAAAAGCAGGTCAGTGTCTCTTCACCCACATGGGTGTCAGACAGACTGGATGTGGACTGTGATTGTTCCTGTTCATGTGATGAGGAATGCAGTGACCGCCTGGTGAGTATGAAAGATACCTGGGCAGCTCTGACCTCCCTCAGTGGCCCGTCCCTCCATCGCTGCTGTGGCAGACTCACTCAAGATATCAGTCTACATTTGACTTTGCTACAGGCTGGTTTTCTTGGTTGCTGTCAGTTTCTTTCTCTCTGCCCTCACTTTTGTGGCTATATTCATTTTATGGTCGTGTTTCTGTGGTCACACACCAGAAGCGTTAAACCTCTCTTCACCTTCCTTAATTGCTTGTCTTCTTTCTGATCCTGGGTTTTATATAGTGTCCTTCCATAGGTTCCCGCGCCATGTAGCCATTAGGTCTGCTACTAACAAGAACACTGAATTACTACTATGTATTCATCTCATTTCACTTTGAACCACTGACACATCTGAAATGTGGGCAGTGATCCAGAGGTCTGACTACCAGAGTGCCACCATTTGCCACTAGTAACAATCATAAAACAGTTCTCCAGTGTTTATTGCTGTAGCTGACATAGAACCTCCAGTGGTGGCTAAACACACAGGTGGATGGAATATTTTTGGATGGCATGGTCTCTTGGTGTATTTGAGGTTTATCAGTGGTAGAAATTGACCTGTCCAGGATGTACCCTGTCTCTCGCCCAGTGTCCACCCCATGACCCTTATTAGGATAAGCAGTATAGATAATGGATGGATGATGGTAGAAATGGCTACAGTAGCTGTGGTGTGCAGGTTATTCTGTAGTTACATTAAGTCAACCCATGAAGGACTTTTTATAAATAGTATGTAAAGGAAGAGGATGTAGCCTGTACTGTATGAAAGGTTAATGTCATATATGTAAACTGCTGCAGTTAATCGGATCATTTCATATCATGAATCTGGTTTGTGTCTTTGTGAGTTGCTTCCAAAAAGTGTTTAAATATACTCAACGGTTCCCTGAAAAATTAGTTGTGTTCAGAGCAGATTGTTTCACCGAGTCAGCGTCTCTGCACAGTGCTGCAAATCTGTGACATCTTGGGTGTTGTGTTTCTGTAGGCAGCACTCTGTGTTTGTCTGTTCTGTAGACTTTTCATGGTAGATATTTTGACATGTCAAAGCAGGAAACCCATGGTGGCAGCTTGGTTTACTTGTTCCAGAGCCTGGCATTGCGCATGTACTGTAGATACACATGGTACGAGAGGTCAAAGTCTCTGCCCTGTAAATGTCATTTTGAAGCAAAATGCTCACAGAAACTTGAAATGTTTACATTTCTAAGTTACATTGTGCTTACTTGTATAAGCACATAGCCAACCTGGGACAAGGTCGTGTTACGGCATAGAAAAACTCTAGACATTGCTAAGAGAACAGACGGGTTAAAGGTGGCCTGAAGACTGGAGTCTGTGTTCATGGTACAGTAGCTGGTTTCCTGCTGGGAGAAAGTTATTTTGATTTGTTTGGCCACTCAGCAACGTGTTATCTATGTGTCCCACAGACAAAGAAATGTGTTGATTTTCTGCAAATTGGCTTACAGTACACAATGTTCACTGTTTTTCATTAGGCAGCTGATAGTGTAGGAAGATGACATCCCAGGTTTAATCCTACGTCTGACTGTACACAGATGTCTGTGTTTTACTGTCTGTTGGAGCACTTGTACTGTGTATCCTTTAACCTTTAACCTGCTGACCTTCCCCTTCTCTGTAGCAGTGTCAGGACTCTACTCGGCAAGATATAAAGATCATTTATTTTATTTTCACCACGTATCCCTTGGACTTTGGTATGATCCAAAGAAATAGTTGCCCCTGTATTAAATTCACTTTTGACCTCAAAGTGACAAGAGCAAATTTTTCTAACAAAAAGAATAATGTTTCCAACACAAGCTGATGATTACCAAGAACTTCCCATACAGTTCTTGTGAAACCATTTCTTAAAAGGGACCATACAGACATCAATAGTCCCTTCCTGCTGGGAAAATCTGTTAATCACAGTGCTGTTAGGTTTGGCTGCAGCTCAGGCCTTCATTGTTATTGGCAGCTGTTCTGTGGAGCTGATGTTTGAAGGTTTTAGCAAGCAGTGGCCAAAGTAGTATTCAGATCCCCTTTTTAAGTAAAAGTAGCAATACCACAGCCTAAAAGTACTCTGTTACAAGTAAAAGTCCTGCATTCAAAATGTTACTTACATAAAGTTAAAAAAAGCATCAAAACATACTTAAGTACCAAAAGTAAAAGTACTCATTATGTAGAATGTCCAATTTAACATGAATGTTTATCATTTTATTTAATTAGAATTGCTGATGCATTATCGTTTACATCACCTTTAGTGTTGCAGCTGGTAAAGGTGGAGCTAATGTTTATGAGCTTATGTTTTATATACTGCTGGGTAGCTTGTAAATGTTCCCCGAGACCACAGAAGTCTTATGATTATATTGTCATTTTTGTACTAACCTTATTCTGAACAGTAACAAGTAACTAAAGTTATAAAATAAATGTAGTGGAGTAAAAAGTACAATATATTTCCCTCAAATGAAGTCAGAGTATAAAGTAGCACAACATGAAAATACCCAAGTAAAGTACAGATACCTCAAAATTGTACTTGAGTACAGTACTCGAGTAAATGTACTTAGTTACTTTTTACCTCATTGTTGGATTTTATTTGAGAGAGGAGGTGATTAGTTAAAACCTGAAGACTCTAGATTACATTACTACATTTGATGTAATAGGACAAATGAGCGCAGGTGTGAGAAGATTATTTACATTAGTGCTAGAACAGCTGGCACACCCGGTATTTACTGTTGTCTCCTGACACGTCTACCTGCTGGTACAGATGGTTTTATGGTAAAAACAAAAGCTTGAAACAGCAAATATGCTGTTTCTGGAGTAACTTTTCATTAATGTGCACGTCTGTATAAATTAGGTATTCATCAATAAAAATAACCATATTAGTTGTAGCCATTGCATTGATGTGTGTATGGTCTCCGCAAAATAATTTATCATACTGTATTTCTGTGTTATTCTGTAAATATAAAAGTAATCATAGCCTAAATGATAATATCATGCATGCACACCTTTGCGCTGGGCAGCTCTGTTCCTTTTTATGACCTTTTAAAATTCAAGTGGAAATCTTGCATACAGACCAGCTGGAGAGTGGATATCCACAACCCAGCATTTGGTCTGCAAACAATCTTCCAGATATTTGATCACTGGTATTGACAGCCTTGGTGAACATCCAGGGTTTATGTTGTCTTACTGGCTGTACTTGCAGTGCTCCCTCCAGAGTGTGCACCGGGCGGCCATTCCGTCCTTCAGAACCCCTACCGCAGCACCACTTTCAGGTCCAGCTGGCTGCAGCAGTCGGCCCTGCAGGACTTCGTCTGTGACCACTCCCTCACTCCAGGCTGGTACCAGTTTCAGATTTTTGATAAGCCAGCTAGTATGCCCACCCACTGTGTGGAGGTAAATGACCTTTTCTGCATCTTGTAAAGACATAGACTGGAATGTTATCTGTCATAAACTAAAGAAAGTTTAGTGGCGTTTATGGTGTAGCTCAAAGAACAATACCACTGTTCTAGCCTATTTACATGATTACACATTATGTCTGCTTTACATCACAGCTTTTTGTCTTCTTTTTGCAAATCCATGCTGCTGTCTCAAAGGAAAGAAAGGGGAAACCCCTGTATTATGGAGAATATTTTGGCAGAACAATGGTCACATTTTAATTTACAGTCTAAATTTTAGTAGAGCTTTAGATTTTAAAAGATGTAATAAAATTTTATGTCAAGTTGTACTCTACGTCATGTAGCCCAGACTTTAACTACACCATAAATTTCTCATGACCCTCAAAATTAGGGAGTTTTCATTTTATCACATCACTCACTTTTGTATTCTCTTTTTAGTAGCATGAGATGAGGCCCAGAAGTATTATCTGTAAGTGCTGGTATGTTGTTTTATTTACAAATGTCAATACAATCTTTGAAGTCTCTCGAGACACCATCTGTGATGTCAGGTGGGGAAACTCTGAGGTGTGATTGTCTGAGAGTCAAAAATAAGATGTTTGTGTGTGCAAACGTAGATGCGTTTGACTTTGTGGACACATACTGGTAGCAGGACATATTTATGAAGGAGAGTGCAAGGAGAGCTGAATGTGTCTCATTTCCTGTGGACAGCCTGCTGTGAGCAGCCTGCAGGATCCATCTGAAGTGTCAGCCTCCCTCTGACTTCCCAGGGCATTACTGCTCTCCCTGGGTGATGGGTATCCACAGGAGTGGGCGGAGGAAGGAAGAGGGGATCGCTGTGAACGTGTTGCATAATAAGCCGATGTCTTTATGATGATGGCGGATAAATGGCTAGATTTGTTAGGCCAAGAGTTTTTTCAAAAGGGAGTTAACTGCAACAGACTGTAGCTTTGTCAAACACATACCCAGATGTTTGGCATTTTCAGATTTAGTTTATAGTAGTGCAAAGTGGTTACACTTTGTGGTGACATCTTACATGCAAAGTAGCCATTGTTTTCACTGTCTTTTGGGGGGACGGGGGTCAAGGTTTTGCAGTATTTCATGCTGTTTCTTGTTATTGTTGTTATTTCCGACATTTTTGTTGTTGTTTTTGAAACAAACAGAAGAGGATTTGTTTTGAGCCTTGAAACTATAACGCAGTTTTGAAGAACTGAATTATACAAGATTTCATTCATCTATCATATTCCAACAGAGCCAGCCAAAAGGTGTGTACTGTTACCAGAATGGATGACTGGTCTCCCCTCTATCTTTTTCTAAACACTCAGGTGAACCACTGTGGTACCCAGGCCCCGGTGTGGCTGTCTCTCAGTGAGGGTGAGTCCCTGCCTGGGTCCCTAGAGGTCAGACAGCTGACGGCCTGCGCTGCCTGGCAGTTGTTCCCGAGCAGCAGCAAAGACTGCTGCATGTTTCGCATCCCGGTCACCGTTCGCAACTGTGGAGATTTCTACATTTACCTGCTCCAGCCCACTCAGGGATGCATGGGATACTGTGCTCAAGGTGTGTTAGTGCTGAGTATCCTACCCTGATTTATGTTTGTAGGCAAGGCCATCTGTTGCAGGATTATTGTTTTTTTGTTGCTGAAGATAGTTCTTTATAACTTCAGCTGTGTGTTTGGGCTCATTGCCAAGCTGCAGAACAAGTGTGAGCTCAGACAACTGTCTGATGGCACTGTGTGATGGATAAGAATCTAAGCATCTAAAGTTCCACGTGTACCTACATATATCATCGTCCCTCATAATACACAACAAAAACCTTAGCAATGTGGTATGATGCCTTGCAGCAACAGCCGTAATAAATATGTATTAATAATAAGTGTTACAGTAGCTCTTCATCATTCTAACCATTTTGCATGCCGTGCTCTCATGAGTCTTACATGTGAGATTAGGTTAAGGCAACAAAAATACTTTGGTTAAGGTTTGGCTCTGGAAAGATTGTGGTTTTGGTAAAATGTTGCCAAAGTAAACGCATCCTATCCCGTGCTTCAAACCTGTTGCTGTGAGGACCTGAACATTAACATAAAAACCATCAGTAGTGCTGTAGATTCTATAAGCAGATACTGTATCACATTGGAGAGAAGACATGAAGTATGTTGCCTGGGAACATTTTGCAAATCTTTGAAACTTAAAATATAAAGACTGCACTGCACTTATGAGTGAGTGACAACAGAGCTGGCTCAAAAAGTGGAGACAAAGATTAAAAGCTGAAGCAAAACCACAGCCTTATTGGAAAAACTGCACTGTGTAAGAAAAAAACACGTATAAACTAAATTGCTTCCCAGACAAGACCTTCAAAACAAAGTGGATGCTGGCACCAAACTTACAGTCTCCTATCTGCCAGGTATAATGCTTTAACATTGCTCTCCCTTCTCTCTCTAGCAGAGACGTCAGACTCTTTACCCACAACGCCGCGGACCTGTGGCTCGATTGAGGCGAATGCTGATGGAGCGTGTAAAAGTGAGGATTGTGCTGCTGTTGTTATGACCAATTTCTTGTTTTCCTATGTTAGGTCAAATACCAGAACAGTCAGCAGGTCAGGGAGTTGCCATGCAGCCCGGATTCCACTGCTGGCCCCGTGATCACTCCTCTTAATGAGCTGAGCATGTGTCCCTGTGTCCAAGGGGCTTCGTCTCCATGGTGACAGCACTCAGCCAGGTCGAGATTTATGCCAGAGCAGGTTCTAGGAAGCTGGCAGAGGTGGTTGCACATTTTCTGGTTAGAACTGCTCATATAAATGAATTCATGTTCTACTTTCCTCTGCATAACCATTTAAAATTTGTCTGTTATGACTACATTTATCTAGACATACAATAGTATAGCTTTCCTAGAGAGGGACTTTTTTGGTCAATAAAATATACCTGGAGTGGGAATTTTAGTAAATAATATTTTTATGATTATTAATTTTATTGTGGCAGTGATCAAATGCACTGTGTCTGGGGATCCAAACTAATTATGTTAGAATTATTATGAAATATTGTGTCAAATGCAGTGCTATTGATACACAAAGTGCTTTGAGTGCTACTGCAGAAAAGCATTGTGTCAGTGCAAGTCCATTTCCCTTTTCTTATTGATATACTAATGGCAGTAAACTTTGTTAATGAAGAGCTCATATTGTATGATAACTAATGACATCCTTAAAGAGCACAGTCCTTTACAGCATTATGTTTGAATAATGTTCAATTTAAGCTTTTTTTTTGAGAATATTGACTATAAAGGAAGATTCATATATTTTTCTTGAAAAAAAGTGCAGTGGAATTTTAGGAATTTTTTTTTCCAGCCCTGAGTCGTACTTGCTGCCCTTTTCTCAGGCTGAATTTAAATGTATCTACCTATAGAGAATGTGAAGGTACCTCACACTGTGTTGAATGTTGGCTTAGAGCACCATTTTGGGAGATATGTGATTTATTCACCTGAATTCTGTTTTGTTTGGCTAAGTTGCTTTAATCATTTAGATGTCACTTTACTGACTGAGGTAATTCAGAACGGATAACCTTAGCTAACGTGTAGTGGACCTAGAGATCCTGTTGATGAAAGTGACAGACTGAAAAATGGCTCTGCATCCTGATCTCAGCTCTTAGTTTGGGAGCTAACACTAGCTAGCAGCTGTCAGCAGATAACACAAACACTGCAGATGAATCAGTTTCTGTCCTGTCACATTAAACACTAAAGTGGACATTTGGACATAATTGAAGCATCCACTAGTGTAGGTAGCTGTATGGGACAGTAAATATTTTTTAAATGAACTTAATACTGTAGATGTATGTAGTGAATGTTACTATGATGGATAATGAGCATGAGCTCCCAAAATGGTGCATTTCAACACAGTGTGACAACTTCACGTTCCCTATTAGAGGGTGGTGCAGGCAGTTTTAGCCTGAGAGGCAAATCGCAGGGTGAATAAGGTGAGTAAAGCAGTTGCTACTGCTCACAAACCTTAACTGCTGTGAATACACAAATAATAGAAAACAACCAAAATATTTTTATCTGCATGTTTCTCTCTTTCTCTGAAAAATGGTGATTGGATTTAGATGGTATAAGGCAAGGGGTTCTCCCTGCCGTCCCCAGTGGAAGTTATGCCTTTGTAAACACCTTAATGTTAAACCTGTGGAGTATGTAACTGTTGAACATCTCATTCCTATGCTTGGCTCCCCACAAAATTTGGTAACCTGACTGGAGGGGTCAGCTACAGGTTCACAGTGTTGGAAGAGGCTGAGGTCAGTTATCTGTGCGCGACAGTAACGTTCTTCCACACCAAACTGAGAAAATCATTATGTACCTGGCTTTGTCATATTTAAAGACATTGGAGGCATTGCTAAACTGTTGTCATAAAATATTAAACAAAATGTTTCGTCTTCTGTAACTAGTTGTTTTTTTTTTTTTTTAAGAAGAAGAAAAGAGTCCTAGCCTTAAACCTTGAAAACCAGCCCCAGATTGAAAGTACAGGTTGTACGTATGCAGGCACATAACCAGTCTACATACCCGGCCATATAGTTACAAACCATGAATGATATAAAAAGGGACATTTTTCAGATGGAAACAAAGCTTTTTACAAAGAAGTTGGAGAAATTGTCAATCTTCACGTAATTTAACTTGAGACCTTGCACTACATTAACTAGGGCCTTGATTTCTTAATAAAAGCTCAAATTGACTTTCTTTACTACATCCTTGGTGGTGTTTCAGTCCTTTGAAGGCCAACAATGCCCCTAGCGACTGACTCGTTATAGCCCAGTATCGGTGAGAGTTGTTACCTGTCTTTGAATCCTCCCCTGTCGACCAACGTCTATTGTCCTGGTGGACATGTTTAGGCAGAGATCTCAAAACAGGATTGTAGATGGATGACAAGTTGTGTCTTAGTCCACCACCCCTATTTAGTGAGGGGTGTTCTATTTGAACAAAAAAAGCTTCCTTGACTCCTCTCTCAAACCAGCGATGTTCTCTGAACAGGATCTGGACTTCACTGTCCTCAAAAGAATGCCCTTTGTCCTTCAGGTGGAGGTGGACTGCTGACTCTGGTCCACTGGAGTTGGCCCTCCTGTGTTGGGCCATGCATTTGTGAAGCGGCTGCTTGGTTTCACCAATGTACTAGTCGTTACACTCCTGACTACACTTAATTGCATACACAACACCACTCTGTGTGTGTCTGGGTGTTCTGTCCTTTGGGTGGACCAGTCTCTGCCGCAGGGTGTTCCCTGGCTTAAAGTTGACTGGGACATTGTTGGGCATCAAAGGACTGAAACTCCACCGATGGGGATAAATGTCTCCGACTCAATGCCAGTCGGGCAGAACTGATGAAGCCTTGTGGATGAGACATGAAACGTCTTCGATCTAAAAACCTAGTCTAGTTTTTTTCCTAAGTTTTTTTCAGCTTACTATGACCTGGATGACTGAGAATCTGCACAAACATGCAGAAAGCTATTTACATAAATATAATCTAATCTACCTCCTCTTTCTGCTTTTTCCCTGTCAGCCAAGCAGCCTCCCACTCCATCTCTACCAGTGATAGTCTTTGAGGTGACAGGTAACACTATCTACCTGAAGTGCAGCTTTGAAAGCAATTCCAACAGCTCCCTGGGTTATGTGGTGGCTTGGTCCCGCCTCTCGCCCGAGGGCAGGAAGGAGGAGCTCAAACAGGAGATCACCATCCAGACCTCAGCCTTCATTGAGCTGGATGGCTTCAACCTCCGTCTGGGGGACAAGGTGTGGTACAGGGCTGCAGTGGTTTAACATGACCTTTGTTGAGTCCAGGCCAATTTCAAGAACAAACAACAAAATGAGTTTGAAAAAGCCAAGATTTAGTCCCTATGTGGTTTCATCTGTCTCTCTCTTTCTCTGAAATTTTAATTCATGAGTTTTATTGGCACGATCTTAATTAAGATCAGTATTGCCAAGTGAGTTGTGTGAAGTTTACAAGGTAGGTATAATAATAATAAAGAAAAACCAACTAATAATATCCACATTACTAGATAGTATGTGATAATAAAACTAAGACCGATTGTATATTATAATAAAAATAAGACCTATTGTTATAGTATTGTCTTTCTTCTTCAGATTTACTGCTCCAGCTCCAGTTTCTTCTTGGACTTGCCGGACATCCGGGGAGATTCAGTGGAAAGTCAGGAGTTCTTTGCTGGGATTAGAGTATGTCACCATAATCTGTTTTACAACTATGTATGTGTGGTGTATCCTGATGAACAGTAGAAGTGACTAGTACTATATTTTTTAAGCAAAGAGACAATTTATCTGTGTAGTTATCTTTTTGGCCTGTGCACAGAATGTGTGTGTGTGTGTATTCTTGCACAGAAATAAAAGCGACTCTTCCAGGAGTTGCACTTAAAGGTATTCTTTTTATATATGAGAGTTAGATGAGAAGACTGGTAACAGTTTCCTCTCTGTGAGTTTTGTTTTGAAGTATAGCCAGAAGGCAATTTGCACATCTTAGCATAAAAACTGGAAGCTGGGGGGGAAAAGCTAGCTTGGCTTGGTTCATAATTAAACTAGAATTACTGCTTTGTGGCTATATGCCTCCACCAGCCAGTCAAATTCACAGGTATGGGACAGAAGCAAGGTCACTGACCTTGACCTTTGACCACCAAAATCTAATCGGTTCATTCCAGAGATATTGTGTTCACAAGAATGGGACAGACGCCAGGTCACATTAACCTTGACCTTTGACCTCTGATCACCCACATTTAATCAGTCCATCACTGAATTCCTGGACTCTTGTGCCAAATTTGAAGAAATTCCCTTAAGGGGTTCTTGACTCATTGCGCTCACAAGAATGGGATGCACAGACGGATGGACGGACAACCCAAAAACATAAAAATATCCATATTTTCCAAAATGATGAAAACAAAAGATGCTGTCTAAAGTTGCTGCCGACTTTGTATTACGAATCATCTTATAACTACTGCTGTTACTACTAAGCTACAGATGACTAAAATATTTAGTTTTTTTTTTGGCCGTGTTACAGAAAAATATAGAAACTACCACACACCTGATTTTAACGCTCGGATCACTACAGTACTTAGCCTGCTAACCTGAACAAAGACATGATTGATTTCTCCAGGAACTGTCTGTGTGCTTAAAACCTTGCTCTCTGAATGTGAAGTGTTTATAAAGTATGTATGTACAATAAGGCTGATCAATTTGTTTCTGTTTTGTGCAGCTAAGACCAGAGGTGAGCATTATATCTGAGGATGGGAGAATGCATGAGCTGGTAGTTGAGAGCACAGTTCCTGTCCCATGTCAGGTAGAGTCTTCCTCCTCAAGAGAACGGTGCACTCTGTCCCTTCAGCTCAGCACAAGCAGTCAAGGTGAGGAGTTATGTAAAGGTGAGTGTACTTCAAGTTACAGGTTCCTTGACTGTAATTGATGATGCGGGAGCAAACCACCTTGATCCATTGCCATCAAGGAACATACAAACTTGGATTATCTCACATAATACCATTTCATTCATTCATCAGTTTTTCAGTCTCTTTCCCCTCATTTTATCATCATGCATATAAACTAAATCTAAATCCTTATTGTGTTGTAGATAATTTGTTGGATGCAGATCTGTCTCTGTCCTCCTGTGTGTTGGATTTGTCCCGGAGCCCCTGCAGGGACGGGGTTTGTAGCCGGGCTCTGGTCTACTTCAGCTCCATCACTGACTTTGTCAAAGATGACAACAGGGTGACTCACATCTCTGTCAAACCTATCACCACACACAGTTTTCTTTGGAACGGATACTCACCAGAACCTGTTCAGGTAAACGGATCCGACTCTAAAACTGCTACTTTATTGGTGGTTTACTGATTCGTGAGGCCAGGATTTTTATAAATGTGTTATGATTTATGGTTGTTGTGACCTTGCATTTGTTGTTTTTAAGTACCAGTGCATTCTTGTATATTCCTCATATATCCTGAGTATTTTATTTAATGATGAAATTAAATCATTGTCTCCTTTTCAGATAAGGGTAAAGGATGTTCCTTCAGCCTACTGCTACTCTTTCACCGATCCTCACATAATCACGTTTGATGGCAGGTACTATACGTCATGTATCTCACACACTGTCATGTTTTATTGCAGATGAACAGATATCATTTCATGAGGGCAGCAACATGAACCAGCAGTAAATATTCTTTGTTTGCTTACAGGCTCTATGAGAGCTACCAGATAGGTACCTTTGTTCTGTATAAGAGCACTTTCTGGCCGTTTGAGGTGCACGTCCGTCAGTGGGAGTGTGGCAGTGTGCTGCACGCTGCAGCGTGCGTGTGCGGCTTTGTGGCGAGGGATGGTGGTGATGTTATTGCATTTGACATGTGCAATGGAGAAATGGGTGAAACCAAGCCTCATCTGTCTGTGAAGAGCAGAGACCTGAGCAGGAGTGGCATTCGAATCACAGAGTCCTACCAGGGACGCAAAGTCACTGTGAGTGAGGACAAGCCAGACACACATCACAAATCTGTCCATCAGTTTCTAATACAATATAGAGTACAGCTGATTGGAGTTCACTTTTCATAGCACTTTAGTTCACAGGTATGTTTTTTACAGTACTATATCTTGACACATGCAAATGATGAGAGCATAATTATAATTATGAAACTAATGTATGTTTTTCATACAGCGATCATTTTTCCATACTTACATCCCCATCAACAGAGCACTTGAGGAAAGATTAGAAACTTGCTTTGGAAACATTAGTACCAAGGTCAGAGGAGGAGTAAGAATAACAAAACTATGAAAATATGACTGAACTCATGCAATGCTTGAAAAGGACAGAAGTGGATTTATTCTTCATGGAGCCATTAGTTTGGAGAATAAATTGTGAGTGAAATTGGGATAAAAAAAAAAAGCCCTACATTGAAGAACTAGTTCAACATTTTGTGGAAATAAGATTCTTTCCTGTAAAATAAAGAAATACAGTGCCTTGCGAAAGTATTCGGCCCCCCTTGAACTTTGCAACCTTTTGACCTTTTGTGACCTTTCAGGCTTCAAACATAAAGATATAAAACTGTAAGTTGTTGTGAAGAATCAACAACAAGTGGGACACAATCATGAAGTGGAACGAAATTTATTGGATATTTCAAACTTTTTTAACAAATAAAAAACTGAAAAATTGGGCGTGCAAAATTATTCAGCCCCCTTAAGTTAATACTTTGTAGCGCCACCTTTTGCTGCGATTACAGCTGTAAGTCACTTGGGGTATGTCTCTATCAGTTTTGCACATCGAGAGACGGAAATTTTTGCCCATTCCTCCTTGCAAAACAGCTCGAGCTCAGTGAGGTTGGATAGAGAGCGTTTGTGAACAGCAGTTTTCAGTTCTTTCCACAGATTCTCAATTGGATTCAGGTCTGGACTTTGACTTGGCCATTCTAACACCTGGATATGTGTATTTGTGAACCATTCCATTGTAGATTTTGCTTTATGTTTTGGATCATTGTCTTGTTGGAAGACAAATCTCCGTCCCAGTATCAGGTCTTTTGCAGACTCCATCAGGTTTCCTTCCAGAATGGTCCTGTATTTGGCTCCATCCATCTTCCCATCAATTATAACCATCTTCCCTGTCCCTGCTGAAGAAAAGCAGGCCCAAACCAGGATGCTGCCACCACCATGTTTGACAGTGGGGATGGTGTATTCAGGGTGATGAGCTGTGTTGCTTTTACGCCAAACATAACGTTTTGCATTGTTGCCAAAAAGTTCAATTTTGGTTTCATCTGACCAGAGCACCTTCTTCCACATGTTTGGTGTGTCTCCCAGGTGGCTTGTGGCAAACTTTAAACGACACTTTTTATGGATATCTTTAAGAAATGGCTTTCTTCTTGCCACTCTTCCATAAAGGCCAGATTTGTGCAGTATACGACTGATTGTTGTCCTATGGACAGAGTCTCCCACCTCAGCTGTAGATCTCTGCAGTTCATCCAGAGTGATCATGGGCCTCTTGGCTGCATCTCTGATCAGTCTTCTCCTTGTATGAGCTGAAAGTTTAGAGGGACGGCCAGGTCTTGGTAGATTTGCAGTGGTCTGATACTCCTTCCATTTCAATATTATCGCTTGCACAGTGCTCCTTGGGATGTTTAAAGCTTGGGAAATCTTTTTGTATCCAAATCCGGCTTTAAACTTCTCCACAACAGTATCTCGGACCTGCCTGGTGTGTTCCTTGTTCTTCATGATGCTCTCTGCGGGGGCTGAATAATTTTGCACGGCCAATTTTTCAGTTTTTTATTTGTTAAAAACGTTTGAAATATCCAATAAATTTCGTTCCACTTCATGATTGTGTCCCACTTGTTGTTGATTCTTCACAAAAAATTACAGTTTTATATCTTTATGTTTGAAGCCTGAAATGTGGCAAAAGGTCGCAAAGTTCAAGGGGGCCGAATACTTTCGCAAGGCACTGTAATGCATCCCCTGAAACCACAAATTTTCAGGTTTACACGTTTTTTCTTGACTAGACAAACAAGATACACCCCATTTGTTGGTGAGCTTTATAAGTGCTGCCTATGGGAGCTTTGAACATTATAGAGAGTCAAGCTGGCTGTTTCCCGCTGCTTATTGTCTTTATGTTAAGCAAAACTTACTGCTAACTTTCTGCAGGAAAGCTAATAAATGTAAATAGTGTGTGTGTAAATATAAATTTAAAGGCCAGGTCACCTACCTTTTTACCTTGTAGCTGTTGAGATCTTTACACAAAGATCGCTAAGCCTTGATGTCAGAATGGGACAGGCTCATAGAATCTAGTTGGCTGCTTGTTGCTAAAGATGAGATATTCTTTTGTCTCTTTAGTATAATCTGTAATCTTCAACTGCTTTCAGATGACCTTCTCATCAGGAGCCTTTGTTCGTGCAGATGTGTCTGACTGGGGAATGAGTCTGACGCTGAGAGCCCCCAGTTCAGACCGCAGCCACACTGAGGGCCTGTGTGGGACCTATGACGGACAGCCAGACAATGACTTCCATTCAGCGGGGGGTGTCACAGTGGAGGATCTGCATGCTTTTATCTCTGAATGGAGGTCAGTGCTTTTTTAATGACGTATCTGTCAGCTGACATGAATGTTTTTGGAAGTTTAGAGCAGTGGTTCCCAAATGGTGCATCAAGTCCAGGTGTGCCGTGGGATTTTGTGACAACCATATATTAGTATTGCAGTATATAACATCTATAATAATACAATACTTTGGTGTGCCTTAGGCACAAAAAGTTTAAAAAACAATGGTTTAGAGGTTTTTACACTGACCACAGTTATTACTTATTCTCCTGTACAATGAACAGCTGCACTGATCTCATCCACACTTGTCACTATTTTTTGTTTGTATTTTTCATGAATGTAGCTATTTATTAAGCTGTTATATTAGCAATTTAACATTTGGTAATGAGGACAACATGAGACCTATTTGAATCCCCAGGGATGAAACCAGACAAGCAATATATTAGCTGTTGAAATAACATCATTTGCTTGTTAACTATTTCGGATGTCCACAGATTTGTACATGTAAACATGCACAATGAGTGATAAGTGATAAGCTAAGCATTTCCTCTCAGGCTTCATTTGGAAAGCTTCGTCTGGGACAAAGTTCACTGTGGATGGCTATATGTGATTACTTACAGATTTCTTCAGGAATTTGCACTGCTAATCATAGTACTATCAACAAACTCCAAGGACCCAGTATCAGGTTATGCAAAAACCCTCCTGTCAAACCAGTTTCTTCTTCACCAACATCTTTTTCTTTTCCTCTGCCAGACTCCCTCCAGGCACCAGCCTGTTTGACACCACGCCATCCCACCTGAGTACATTGAGCCCCCGCATGCACTGTACCTGTCAGACAGAGTCACGCCTCACATCTCCCAGAGCTCGATCTCAACCAGTCACCTCCTCTGACTCTACCTGCTCTCGTCATGGCAATGTGCATCTCCTCAGTGTCATTCCCACTCTGGACGTCACAGCTGAGTACATTGGCTCAGTGGAACTACTCAAAGGTGAAAGAAATGAAAGACAGTCACAGCCTCTGGGCCGCTACAGGCAGAACACTCAGGAACGAGGTAGCCACATCCAACCTCATGAAAGAGGCTTCCCTTTGAGAACCTCCAGGGATGGATTTTCAACCTCAGCTCACTACCAGCAGCACAGAAGCAGGCTGCAGACCCACCATTACATCTCTAACTCCCCTCACCAAAGCCTCAGCCAGTCTGATCTCGATGGCTTAACCTACTTTTTCCCAGAGGACCATGAACCGGCAGTTCAACCAGTCTCTTCCCTAACATGGCCGACACCTTCCGGCCTGACTGAGCAGCAGGCTAGGACTCAGTGCCAGCAGACTGTGGCCAACTCAAACACAGCGTTAGGTTGTAGGCGCCTGCTAGAAGAGTCAGTAGTTAATCTAACAGTGACTATGTGTGTTACTGACCTACAACTGAAGGATGAGCTGTCATGGCTAAATGCCACGTTACCGCTGCTGGAGAACGAGTGTGAGAGGAGGGTGGTGGAGGAGAGGAGAAGAGGGGAAGTGTACCAAGATGTTCTGGCTGCCCTCAAGTGTCCCAATCTGTGCAATGGGAATGGCCAGTGCTCCGAGTGGGGTTGTGTGTGCTTCCCAGGGTTTGGGTCCTATGACTGCAGTGACCTGTCTGGTAACATATTAAACATACAACAACACAGGCACATTAGTTCTGGAGAGGTCTTTACTAGAGCAATATATCAACCAGTATTTGCTTCTTGCAAATATATCAGTATTGGAAGATATGACAAGTGAAAACAAACAGAAACATGCCAAAGATGCAATACATTTAGCAGTTATTGCACGCGTTTAACTTTTCCATTCACGTCTATGATGACAGACGTAGGTTTACATATGTTTTGTGATTTGGGGAGAGTTCCAAGGTCTAACAGTCCATGCTCGTCTTTACTTTTTGTTGTTGATGTTGTGAAGACCAGATCCCAGAAATCACTGAGTTGGAGAAAGGGGGTCTGTGTGATGTCCGACAGAAAGACTGCACCACCATCCAGGTCTACGGTCAAGGCTTCAAGGACTCTTACGAGCTCAAGTGTGAGTTTGTTAAAGAAAAGGTACTTTGATTTTCTGCTCCTTTCTTATCTGCTCTGCATGTGTTCTCCTTTCTTACACTTCCTCAAAAACTAAAATCACTTTACACCTAGGAGCTGGCAGTTTTGCTGAGCTGTTCCACCCAGATCACAAAACATCTGATCAGAAAACTGTTTCTTTACTGGAAACAAAAACCTTTAAATGTTCATGTCATGATCTTTAGAGAATTAGTTCGTTTTTCTAAATTTAAGTCCTGTTAATAAATGAGAAACATTCATGTTCTTGTGCATCACTGAAACAATTTGTAATCATTCAACTACAT